CCTATAAAAGCCTCGAGTTTATCTTTCTTAACAGCTGAGTAATATTCCATTATATAAAAGTACCACAATTTTCTTATCCAATCCTCAGTGGATGGACATTTGGGTTGTAGAAGCAAATATTTAATATTAGAACCTAACAAAAAGATGTTTCTAAAAACTTAAAGCACTCACAGTGTGGGGGGCTTTTCAAGGTTCTTTCAGCACAAACTTTCTCTTTGTCAGTGTCAAGGATCTTTGCCTGCCCCTTCTGCATCCCGTAGCTGAGTATTTCTATGTGTTAGGAGGTGATTTCTTCAGAAGAGAAATGGATCCCAAGCTACTGTCTTTTAGCTTGTTAACATGCCCTCCTCTTTCCCTTTCTAATCTCGGAGCTTCCTCACTTCCGCCATTTGAAAAGTCCCACATAGGAGACCCAAACCCATGTACTTTTAAGACTGGGACAAAAACTGCCTCAGAGACTTCCTCCCAGTCCCTTATATCTTGTCCAGTTCCTGAAATACATCCAAACTTCAAAAACCATGGAAGAAGGAAATTGCACAATCTTCTGTAATCAATTGTTACAATGCTAATGAGCTTATCTTAAAGAAATGCACTCTTTATCTTGTTTGTACATATCCTGCTTTTTAAAAGCATCTTTCTAGGTTACAGATATTTTGTCAACATTAGTTAATGATCCACTGTGTATCCAACATTTATGAACCCTCATTACACATGACAACTGAGCCCTGATGACCTAAGATATATATGCTTGTATGTAATGAATTCACTGTGACGTATCAGAAAGGTAATAGTGCTGCACACTCATAAGAGGACAGAAAAAAATTGTCATTTAAAGTATTTCCTTATTATATGGCTTATGTGAAGACCACTAGTTGAAAAAGGTTGGAAGAAAATGATAAAAATTGCTTTAGTCTACACATTTTCAAAATAAAACATAAAAGTTCTAATAATTTTACCTCAAGACTTTTATTTGTAACATTGAAGCCATATTTATGTCATTTTTGTGAATCTTTCCCTCATTTGTCACAATTTTATTCAATTATGCATTCAAATGTCAGGTATTTACATCTAGTTCCAATACTAGGATCTAGGAACTAGTTCTAGTTCTAGGATCCTTACTAGATCCTAGGATCTAGGATCTAGTTCTAGTTCTAGGATCCTTACTTTCAAAATTCACTTATTTTGATTGTTATTTTTAGATTTTTTTCTCTCTTGAAACATTTTATTAGTCATAACACTCTTTATGAGGGAGGGGATGCACTTACTATTCACCAGTCTTTACAAAAATCAGTCATTCTATTTTGTTTTCCATCCTTCTTTTATGGAAAGGCTGTATTAAAATGGCACCTCATTTTCTAAGGAATTCCTTCTTCTGCCTTGGCTCTTCTGCCTTACTGACACTGACAGGAAATGGGCCAGTTTTTGTGTCCTTTATCAAAGTCTTTCTGGAAAAGGTCAGAGGAATTATTTCTTTGGTATGCATACCAGAACATCAGCACCGATAACCACATTTGAAGTGCGACCCTGTAGTAATAATGGTTATGGGTATGAGGTCACATTTCTCTACATTAAATTTGGACCTCTTATTTCAGTGCAAAGTCAAAAGAACTTTCATACAGTTTGATATCCTTAACAAGAGTAGGCATAATAGAATCTCTTTTCTCCCAAAGTACTGTTTTATTTAGGTTGATTACTAATTTGGGGGCTTTTTTTTAAGATGGAAAACTTAAGCTTAAACATCTCTGATTCCCAAAATTATCTCTTTTTCTTTCAAAAATAAGCACTTAGTTTGTTACTTCGTTTTTAGAAGCCTGTATACATTCACCTAAAAGGGGAGCAAAGTAAACAAATATTAAATAAAAATCTGATTCACAGGGGAATGTGCCATTGTTTAATATTAGCAATAAAACATACTTGCTTTTCTTTCCACCTGAGAAATGCTGTATCACATTCTGTAAATTCTAGGAATTGGTTTGTTTTAAATACAAGTTATTTATTACAGAACCCTTTCATCTGCAGTCTTTATGGTAAGAGGAAATAGTTCTTCATTGTGAAAATTATGCAGCATAGTAATTTGCAGAACAATGGTAATTTGCTAAATGGTTTCCTAGTAAAATGAGAACATGACTATCCCTCCTCAAGTGCCTCCCACCAGGCTTACAATACCCTTCAATTGTAACTATAAAAAGAAAAGGCCGGTCATTGCATTTTATTGTGCACATGAAAACTATGTAGCATTCAACCTTGGTATTTGGAGGGTCAAGATCTTTTCTTATTTCTTTTCACCCTGACACTAATAACAGGTGTTGATACACACCTAGGTCTTGTGCTGTGGGTGTTTTGTTTTCATTATTTTGTCCCACAGAAGGCTAAATTCACACTAATACATTCACATTTTCTTTCTAAGTGATTTTGTCCCTCCCTGTGGCCATGAAAAGGAGGAAGGCTAACTGACCTACCCAGAAATTGAAACCACAAAACTTTATCAGTTTTGTCTCCTGGTCCAGTCCTCTGAGCTAACAGGCAAGTAACACATTGGGATAAGAAACAGACTGCCTCAAAAATTACAGACGTTTCAGGGGACATTTGAATAAATCTTTTTATGCTAATATGTTTGTGAAAAATTTTTAGGTTGGAAAAATATTCCTAATTTGTGTAGTATATTATTACCATTGTATAACAACATACACACACACATATATATATATAATTCACCAAATGAAAATGTTTGAATTTTAGATTTTTCTCTCTATTTCTCAGATCATTTATAATATTTTACTTTTTAAACAATCAAAATTTTAAAATAGTTTTGATATAGCTATTTTGCGAATATCTCACAGTTTAAATATTTTAAAAAATCTTGTGCTGAAGAATCAGTAATAATTATTGCTGCATCTCTCCCTTTCTGCTGTCAGTTAACATAGGCGTACTAGGAATTCTGGAAAGCAGTGCACTTGTGTATTCTGTGTAATGAAAGATCATGTTAAGAAAAAAGAGGAGGGAATATTTTATTATGAGGAATTAGTTTCAATATTAAACTATTTTATTTCCTGTTAAAATTGTTATGAAATTATATAAAGCCCATGGGTCAACATTTTAAGATCATCATCAATGTTCAGAAAAGTGATATGGTGATTAAAACAGAAGTCAGCTAGTATAATTATTCATAAAATGACTATGTTAGAGTTTTGACATTTAATTAATTAAGTGTGGGCAATTTCAATTATGCTAAAAGTGAAGAAAGCTCTAAAGAAATACAACAAGATTCTTAATCTAGGAAGAAGTTCTCATACTCTAAGAAAAGAAATCTTTATGTTCATATACTAGAAATTTAAAGGTTCAAAATAGATGGAAACTACTAACTTTTACTTGACCTTCACAAGTTTCATACCAAAATCTTCCAGAATTTGCCTTTACGTCTTGTTTGCCTTAGGTGTCAAGCCTCTGTTTCTTTGGATCAAATACTATAAATGCTCAAATCTAGAGGGTATAGGAAAATGCCTGGCCAAAAAAAGTGTTCAATAAACAGCAACTAAAGAACATCAGAAAGAACTTTCTTGAAATTCAAATGATACATCTTGACTTTGAATAACTGTCTTCTTTTTCTCTTAACCTAGCGCCATTCCCAAGAGGAAAAACGAGGGATATATATTTCAAAATATGCATGAACCTCAACTGCATGTTTTGGCTCTGTTTGAGTCACTCAAACTTTGTTCAAGGAGGAAAAATTAGCAATCATA